CCAGTTGCCAAAAATAGATGACCCTAGCCAAGAAGAAACACTTACTGGCAATTGGGGATTAAGCCAGAAATTAACACAATAACAACTTGCAGCGTCTCGGAGCGCTTAACAGTGGCGGAGCCTGACGCCGAGCCAGGGGAAGGGAGGAGATGACCTTAAGTAGATCGAAGAGGAAGGTCTTGTTTCTATAACTTTAAAAGTACAGATGTGACAGTTTATAGAGCGAGAGGGAGCACTCTTCTTAAGTCATGTCGTGAACACATCCAATTTCCAAAGAGATGAACAGATTAAAGGGGTGGGAGAGGCTAGAGCGTTTGTAAAGGTGTCAGTCAGGTCCAGTTGGTAGCACTCTGGCCTCGATGCTAGTACCAAATCTGGAGTTTAAACTCGCACAGTGCAGGCTGAGACTCCAGTGCAGTGTTAGGGGTGCGCTGCATTGCCAGAGGGGCCATGTTTCGTACGAGACGTTAAACCAAAGTACTGTCTGCCTGTCTGTACAGATACACATTAAATATCTCATGGCAATACTCAAAAAAAGGGAATTTCTCCCAGTGTCTTGGCCAGTAATCCCCCAGATAAATATTGGTGTTTGTGGAGCATTGTTGTGCACAAATTGGCTGATGTTTACCTACACTTCACAGTAAAGTGTGTTTAGGATGTTTCGCGATAAGGCCCTATATCGAATACAAAAATTATTAAGTTCAGAAGTACCTCTCGTGTGGCTCACAGGAGAGATATCATCAAGACCAGTGACCTTATTGTGTCTGACGGATGAGGCAAGGCTAATACATGATGCCGATCATATGGTAGAGCAGAATGGAGGCAAGTTCTTTGCCAAGATCCTGAAGATTAAAGGAAAAAAGTGAGCCAGAGAGGTCAGCTTTGTATTTGGTAGAGCTGGCAAGTGAATCATCAGGACGGAAGAGTGGTGGAAAGGAGGAATCACAGAATTTTTCAAACGACAACTTTGGCAATGGACCAGAAGAAACAACTGTTACATCGGTGAGATGACAATGGTTAACACTCCCTCGATTAAACGTTGAGTTTCAATGAGATTCAAAGTTTCCTGTTGTTCCCAACGACGCTTCTGTCCAGATCTCAGCTCCTCTGGCTAGGAAAGCAGATACCCCTAAATTTAGGATCATGTCATAACCAGCATTTCAATAACCAAAAGTAATGCTACATTGATATCAATACTGCTGTGCCCATTGGAATTCTTTGCCATCCTCTCATTTCCAGTGATCTCTACCAGTTCTGCTTTTCAGCACACCACAGCACTTATAATGATCTTTTGAGCCGTCACAGCCGGGCTGCAAGGAGAGTTCCCAATCTCCTCGACTTAGTTGTGGGGAAGGCACTTCCCCCGCAGCAGGGAGAGAACAGTGTTGGTGAATGATAAGCAAGGTTGTTACCTTGTAGATCTCCTCACAAAACAGACAAGAGAGGGGTGTTGGCAAGGGCCCACGAACTCCACACTTGCTACTCCTCTCGTGCAGAAACGGCACATGGCGGAACCAAGGATGTGAAGAGGGTGAAATACAGGAAAGGAAAAACATGATGGGGGGGGGGGGGGCAAGAAAATAGAGGTTAGAGGGAGACACAACAGAGATTTGCTACTCAACTCTGCTTCCTGATCTGAGCAATGAGCCATTGCAAACTGCCCCCAAAATCTTAAGAGCTGGCCCCCAACAGCCAAATTAAACTTTTCGCTAAAGTGCCTGAAAAAACACTGTATGATAATGAGTTTTAATTTAGCTACTAAATGTTTTGTTTTTTTTAAATCAAATCGAATATAAATGAAGCCTCTTCTCTGTACCTCTAATAAATATCCTTTTAAAAATTTCCTGAGGAAATCTACTCGGTCCCACGTAAAATATTTCAAAACTGATGTAAACCTAAGACCCACATATGTAATCTATTAATAAGCAGCCACAGCAGAAAGCGCTATTCGAGGAAAACTGTACATTAAAAAGTGAATCTCATAGCCCTCCAAATTCTCAGAGAGGTAAAAAAGTCAGCCAAGAGAGAGAAAAAAAAATCCCACATCCTGCCGATCAGTGCCAACAAGTGAAGTGCCCAGAGTCTTGCACTAGACTAATCCATGTCTGGCCAGAAATGACTAAAGTGGGGGCAAGCTAACCAGTGTTGGCAGCTTGCCACCCCAGCCGTTCTCTCTCTCTCCTCTCTGCAGACACCAAATCCCAACAGACAGCAGTACTGAAACCACCAGTGTCTTATACCAGCTGCACCATGTCTGCTTTTATCAGCCCACAGTGTGGAGCTTTTCCGCAGATGTTTAACACTATGAGTGCCAGTTTTGAGCTGGAATTAAAATTAAAAAACTGGGACTGACAAATGAGATGAGAAAGGGGGAAAAAAAGTATGGGGGGTGGGTGAGAAGCACCACACTGATCCTGAGATCGTGTAGCAAGCCAGGCTGTGGCTCTCCACAATGTCTCTTGGGTGCCCTCTGTTGCCATGTGTTTCCTCAGCATATGGTGAGTGTTTGTGCAGGGTGCTGCATCTCGAGTGATTAATGGTCAATGATTGATGGTAAATTTCATACAATAATAACAGAAAAATTTGTGCACAAGATATGGTTTTAGTTCCAGAAACTTGAAACATTATATATTATATATAAAAAAACAGGAACCCCCCCAACCCCCCCATTTACTGAATTGAGCACAGCTGACTACAAATTGAACTTTTTCTCCACATCAAAACACTTTTGCCGTGGAAACAGCACGTGAGATCTGGTGCTGAAAGTTTCACGGAACTGCGCCCCTGCTTCTAGCCAGGGAAAGCATCCTTCTACATGTCTATACTAAGTGAGTTGCTAACGGAAATGTGAGATCGATTAATGTACGGAGACATATAGTAAGCAGTGATTTTAGAGGGTTCAGTGCCATAGGCTCAGTCAGAAAAGTGCAGAGGTGAACGAAACAACAACAACTTGCATCCCTCATGCAGGGTAGCATCCCAGAGCGAAAGGTTGATCTCCAGATTTTGCAGTGCCTAAACTCCAAGCACCTCAGTCAGAAGCAGACGCTCACATAAAGCACTGCAGGGTGATGGTAGAGGTGCTAGTTGGCTGAATGAAGCAGTGAAAATGAAGTGATAAACAGAGGAATCCCAGAGTGTACACGGCAATAAACGGCTGCTGCTGCACACTGAATAAACACATTGGCTTCCATCCAGGGTGTTTATTGGTGTGCAGGAGCCATTTTTTGCTGCATATACTCTGGGATTCCTACGTTTATTGCTATCATAATCACACATTGATTCTTACAACGGGCTTTATTTTTCCCTAAAAGAAATATTTTTTCCTCCCAAAATAAGATTGCTCTGTGCCACGCAGTGCTGTTCACACTCCATTAAGGAGGGGCTGCCACCAATTGACAGTTGTCAAAACACAAATAGCTTTAAATCTTAGCCAAGTCTTTGTGGTGCAACAGTAAATGGAGGCATTGCAAGACAGGAAGAAAGAGCAAAACTGAATAACTGAAGTCATCCCCACATCTCTTCTAGAAGGTAGTCAAAGAATGGCATAGCCAGACAACTCAGAACAGGTTAATAACCTAGGACAAATCAGAGGGCAGAGGAGAAAAATGCAGTAAAAGGAGCGCTTCGCCCTTCAAGAATTAGACAATATGAGAAGGTTCACCATTGTAATGCATTGTGGAGGGAAGGAAGGCTGGTTTCAAACTTTTTTAAACATTGTAATAATGAATCAAGTGTTTTTGTATATGAACGTAATGATCATTTGAGATATGAACTCTATCATTCCCAGATGTGGAAAAAAACGAGGATAAGCAATGGGGAAAAGTGGAATGTCCTGTTTATTCCGCAAGTGCAGACCTGGTTACACTCGCTCACTTCCAGTTTATACAACAGGTGCAGAGATAAATGACTCTAAACCAGAGTGAAGGTTTTCCCTTTGTTAAGGCTTCACAGGTTCTATTGCATGCATGGATGGGAGGGGGGGGGGGGGGGGGGTGTTAGGGTGAGGACTAAAACCTTAATAGGTTACATATAATGTAAGCTGCCACTCCAGATGTGACCGCTAAGATTTTGGTGGCTAGAGCAACAAAGAAGACTCAATCATTAATAATTTGGGCACCGAATTTACACGCAGGACATGAAGCCACTGTGCATATCGTAGGTAAGACCCATGAACATGAGTCCATACATAGACAAAATGAAATCAATTGGAAGTGAAATAATCCTCACATATGTATACAACCTACGCATGGAAATGGAAGTGCACTCTGCCCCTGCAGGAACACACCCTGCCTACCTCATTCCTAATAATATTAGGCTCAGGTTGGCAAGAGCCAAGGATTGGGGAACCCAGAGTGTGCATTGGGGTAACTACTGGAGTCTAAGCAGCTGCAGCCAGGATGTGAATAGCAGGTCACAGAACTGGAAAAAAAAGGGTGGGATTGACCCTATATCAACAGTGCTCTAATGAAGAGGGTTAACCTATTGTTCAGCTGCTCATCAACCTGCTCTGTCCCCAAGCCTACACTGCTGCCTGCAGCTCTGCTCCACCCCACGTAAACCTGCTACAGCTCTGTGTCACCCCTGGCCCCCACCCACCCACAGACAGCCTGTAGCTCTGTGCCTATTCAAACACAGTTCTGTCCTTGGCCAAAGGCAACAGTGAGTTTAGAAGGTGTCCTAATTAATTGAGAGATAAGTTGACCAACTGTCTGGGTTACTGGGTCATAGTCAGAGGCAAATACCCTTCAGTGGACCACCTTTTAATGGTTGCGTAAACTAGTGGTTAAGAACAACAGATTGCATTTATATAGTGCCTTTCACATCAAAAGATGTTCCAAGGTGCTGGATATCGGACATGTCAAAAGAAGCGTCCACCACAATGAGAAAAAGTACACAGTGACCACAAGAGGTGAAGTAGAATGTCAAACCATCTGGCTTTGCCATTGGTCAGTGACTGACCCGAGGGTTGTGGCTAGCAAACAAGAGATGCACCTCACCTTTCAGCTGCGAGTTGTGCACAGCAAACATGTTGATAGCCATGAGCTGCAGCATGCGGGTGTTTCCTATGGGGGAAGGGCTGTACTGAAGAAGTGCTCGGAACTCCTTGAGGACATTTCCAGCCACTGGTGGGAAGCTCTCCATCCTGTCAGGGAAAGAGAAAATCAGAGTTTCAGTCACGGTTTCAACCGATGGATCATCAGGTTAATGAATCTTATGCCTGCCTCATCACTTTCTCAATGTTGTTGCTTTTTTTTTGAACAGGCCCTGCCTGTTGGAGTAAGGAAGTCACACCTAATTGTATGAGACGTCTTGTACAAGTTCATTGTGAAGGTAGCTTCCTGTGTGCACAGAAATTAAGCTTTAGAATTCAGCAATAAATTCGAGATAAGCCCGCAATAAATTCTGAAATTTGGCCAACCTCTGCCTCTCTTCCCCCACCCCTCACCCCACTTGCTCGCATCAGTAAGAACACATTGCAGTTAGGAGTCGGTGTGGCTCAGTTTGCAGCACTCTCACCTCTGGGTCAAACGATCGTGCACCCAAACCCCACATCAGCACTTGAGTGTATAGTCCAGGCTGACACTCGCTCCAATGCTGTACTGGGAGAGAGAGCACTGGACTGTTGGGAGATATCGCCCTTCAAATGAGGCCTTAAACCAAGTTCACACCTGCCTGATTGTGAGAGATGGATCCCATGACAAATAGAAAAAAAGAATATTTTTTTTCCTGAGGCCCTGGCCAACAATCCTCCAGATTAATTGGTCATTCACCTCATGACTGTTTGTGGGACCTTGCTGTGTACAAAATAGCTGGCACACTTGCCTACAAAAAGACACTTGACCGTAATCACTATAAAACACTGAGGCACTGGGATGGGATAAGGACTATAAAAACATTTGTTTTCTTCTTTACTGATACTACGCTCCCAGTATCGGTACTGATAGAGTGAGACTCGCTGGTCACAGGAGCAGAGGAGCGTGTCTGTCCTGTGCAAAACAATCGGTGGCTCCACTTCCACCCAGGAATTCTGGACAAGATGGAAAGTTAGTTAAGGTTCAAAGAATCGGGTCCATCTTGGCAGGAATGCTGCCCACTGGGCAAGTTCTACTGTCACCACTCCCTTGCATTCGTATACATTTGTTTCACAAAAGCCCGTTTCCCGCCAAGATAGGAAACACTTTCAGTAAACACTGTTTCTTGTGCCTGCAGAGCGGCTGATGCTACACAGGATCTCTGGGTCCTTGGTGGAAGCAGCAGTCTTGGTGTTGTTAAATCTGGCCACATCCTGGCCTCTCGTGGCCACTTTTCCCAGGAAAACAGGTTTTCTTTCTTTGTCTGACAAACGACTTCAATGCTGTGAACAGGGTCTGGTGTCACATCACTTGACGGGAAAGGAAGCGAGCGCCCAGGAGCGTCACAATGCCACACCTCGAGGCAGGCAGAGGTACGGAAAGACTCTTTGATGTTCCATTCGTTCGTAATGGAAATATTGGCTGAGGAGCCAGGTTTTTTATTTTGATCTGTATATATATTGCATATATATACACACACGGTATATATGTATAAAACAAATTAAAATAAATTCCATCCTTCATCATCACAGAGCAACTGCCTCGCCAACAAACTTCAAACCATGGCAAGACCCGCAGCTCAACAGTAACAAGCACTTCAAAGGTAAGTGTTTATCTGGTTTAGGCTCACCTGTGTTTGTGCCTGCACTTAACCTGGACTGATGCCAGCCAAGCATTAGCGCTCTGTAGCCGGATGTGAATTCCAGCTCACACATTGCTGCCAAGCTGTCAAGTGCAGTTGAGTTCACATGAACGCACACCGGATCAAAATGCAGTTCTGGTCCAAGCAGTGGAGCTCTTATCCACAATTTCTGTTCACTTTCATTACTGAGAAATACTGATGCAAGCACTCGCTTCCCAACCGAAATCTCTGTGGAGTTATACGACACTGCCACAGCAGGTCTAGGCAGACTATAAACTTAAAAAACCATTTCAGTAGCGCAGTAAACCATTTTATTCCTAGCCAGGGCTTTTAATTTAAGCACCAAATTCCAATGTGTAAACCAACCAACTTCCCTGTGAAACGTCTGCAGCTGTACTTTGCTCAGGAGTGCAATGCCTTATTCTCCCCTCTCCCTATTCTCTCCCCCTTAACCATCAGAACTCCAATACCTCATCCAAGTCGCCATTTGGCACATGCGAAACCCACAGCCAGTTGCCAACAGTCTACTTGACCTTGGAAGGCATCACAACTGAGCAGAATCCTGCCTTTGCATTTTATCCACACAAAATGACTCACAACCTTACTCTCTACTGATTAGGAGCAGGAATCTTGGCCAATTTACCCTCATTAGTCTGGGAGACACTGACATTAACTGCAGTGTCTCGATCATTGCTCGGGCTCAATTGAGCTGACGCAGCAGACAAGGAAACATAACCGAGGACCCTTTGTGGCCTCAGTGGCTCTGTACCTGGGCTAGAAACAGTTTTAAAATCGGGCAGGAATTCCACTCCTGATCACTCTCGGGTGACACCAGCTGCAGACTGTGAATGTGTGCACTGCAGATAATGAATGATATCAGTGGAGGACAGGTTCAATTATAAAGCCCCCTGCCCCCATACACACACACACAATGTGACTGTCATTGTCAAGGCTCACATCTAAAGAATGACAACTTGGATGACGTACTGGGGAGTTTATGACACCTGTGGAACTGTACAACAGCACAAGTTACTGGATACAGAAGAAGGAAAAAAAAATAGAGGCATAAAAATTAACTAGAGAGGGAGTCTATTCCACCTAGCATTGCTATGAACCATACTCCATTCTTCTGTACAACCTCGATACTTATACCATATTTAAGAGATCTCCCGAAACTGCTAACCACAACCTCATTTTCATCAGTGTTCCAGGGTGTATCCCATCTGGTCCAGGTGCCTTGTAGATATTTAATGCGTTAGGTTTCTTCATAACACAAGATAACTGACCCCTACATGTGTTAAAGATTTCTGGATCTGGAACTTGTCCAAAGTCTTCACTTGTGAAGACTGATGTGCTGCCATTTCCTGATTTCCCCCATGACATTTCCATAAAGCTTAGCCCTCAAAGAATCTATCCGGACCTGAACATTCTGCCTACTCCAGACAGAGCTAAGTCAAGTATTTTGATACAGTTTGCTGCCTTCGACAATCTGCCTTTCTAATTTCCTCTTACCCCTCAATCCTCTGGGGCAGGGGGAAGGAAGGAAGAAGGGGAACGTTTTACACACCATGTCCAGGCCATGAGCCAAGACTCCTCTTTACACAGTGTGCCCAGACCCCAGTGAGGACTGCTCTCCTCACGTGCCCAACCTGGTGAGCAGTGCTCTCTCCACAGTGTGTCCAAAGCCCAGGAGTGAAGACCTTCCTATTCGACCGTGCCTACAGTCATCTCCCTCCCTCCCCCTGGCTTGGCATCGTGCTCTGCCACTGTCAAGCGCTGTGGGACGCTGCCCTGCGTGAGGGGTGCTATATAAATGCAAGTTGTTGTTGTGGTGGCGTGCTCTCCATAGTGTGCCCAATAACAAATTACATGTGTATAGCTCCTTTCACGTCGGGAGGACATCCCAAAGCTCATTGGACATCCCATTTACCTACTGTTAAAAAAAAGTGGGAGTCGTGTGGTGAATTTGACCTAATGACATCGGCTGACGAGGCTATAGAAGCTGCTTCAGAGGCTGAGATGCCTCCCATACATACAGACTAAAATGAATGATTGGCGGTCTGGGCACACTCACCCTGAACCTAAAGTTTGTTTTCTCTCCAATATGTACCTTTTCATACGACTTACTGTATTGTGCCCGTGGCTGTATTCTGGTAAACAGAATTAACTGGTCTACACACAGCCAACATTTTATAGGCTGCATCTTTAACCCCGTCAATTCCAAATGGCCTCTGCCAACTCCAAAATCTGCCCATTTTTAAAAACCAGGCCAAGAAAAAAAAAGCACACCACCGAGAGTGTCTTTCTGTAATGCCCCCATCTTGTATACAACAGGACACATTGGATATTAAAATGTGCCATTGACTGAATCAGAGAAAAAACATTTACTAAATCGCAGAGCACTGATTTCAAAACCACAAGTAAAAATTGCATAACTCTGCAATCTGGTTACATTTTACAGGGACTGGCATTTAATTCCCTAGGATATTGCTTGCTAGGTCGTCCAAAAGTGTTGCTTTGGCCAAGAAGATTCATGCATCAGAAATTGGTAAGCAGACTATGCCAGGACTGCCTCTCTGGCACTCTCTCCCCACCCCCCACACACCCACCACCTCATTTCCCACTTGCTCAAATATGTAGTCAGCCTCCGGGATGTGCTGTAAGCACTTTCACAGTTTGAGCAAATTTTGGCATCCAGAGTTGCTTGCATTCGCCTCAGCGGGCTTTGAAGGGTTAATGATCTGCAGCCTCTCAGCCTCTTTGCTGGTTGACTGAGGTCACCTTTCTGATGTTCCAAGAAATAGAAAGATTACACCATTCGGTTATATTCAACCACCATATGCTGAACAATGTGCTAATAGGTAACCACCACTGGAAATTCTGAGGGGGGGTTGGGGGGGGTGGAGGGTGATGGGGAGGTTTGGCCGAGTGGACATAGGCACAGTAGTATTGAGTGATAAGTTGTATCCCCCCACTCTCTACTGAGATAACTAATCTCAACCAGAGCACCACTTGAGGTACTACAATTAGCTTCAATATCAAGAACGCTATGGACATGAATAATGGTAACTTGGATGACAGGCTTCTGTGGTAAAATGCCCTGCTAAAACAGGCAAGAAGAAATTAAATACCTTCAGGCCCATAGGAAATTAGAAGAAAAATACCCGGTAGAAGAAAATGAAAAACTCATGAGAAGTGGGGGGGTGGGGGATTTAGATGGTGGATTTTCTCATTTAGCCACCATTAACCTCAGTAAGATTGAGCCACTTGGATTTGAATAGAAATCCCACTCCTAACTTAATTCTCTTCGCATTTGAAGCCAATTATCATGCACCAAATACCCAGTCGTTGAGAGCATTAATCTTGTCAGAATTTACTTTGTTTTGTCGGTGAGTAGAATGTGGCTCCTCTATCTCACAGGGTGTCATC